ATGGGAGGAGCCAGCTGAGGAAATAAGAAGGCACCGAATACATCACTGTCACACTGTTAATTTATTTATTTTTTAGACAAGGCTTTACTTCACCTTATAAACACTGACACTTGAAAAGCAGAGCATTTCTGAAGTCTCTGCCTTACAAATAACCTCTCTAAATAATTAACAGGTTCATCTGCCACTCAATCAGCGCACATCTGAAGCCTTTGGAGATGAAACGATTTTCTCTCAAATCTTTTGAAAGGAGGAGACTTAAAAGAATGCTACATACACCTCCCACTCTTCCATCACATCACAAATATATAAAAATACAGACATTTAACATCAAGCATTTATATATTCCTTCCTTTAATGCACAATATCTGTTTTTGTTTCTTTCCCACCATTAGTCTTTGACAAACTGCTCAGAGTTGAAGAGGTTCTCTTTTTTCCCCATACATTTTTAAAAATGTTATATGCTTTCGTTTCTTGAATGATACACTGTTCTGGTTGCTGGTGCAGTTTGGCCACATGTGTGTGTGAAAATCAAAGAGAAAAAGGCAACTTTTGTCTGCTTCCTCAAGTTAGCCTACCTTACAATATGTAGACCACGACTGGGACGATTTTCAATTAATCTGCTAAAAATGTCAGACTCATTCACCTCTATCACTTCGCTTCAAATGGAATTAAAAACTGTGAATACGAAGCTGTCAGACAGGGCTTCATTAACATCAGGCAGTGAATTAGAAAGAAGTCCCAGCCAAAGTGTCCACTTGCAGTAATGCACGTATGCAGCAACAGTGTGAGAGCTGGAACAAGAGACCAGATTTTACTTCCACTGAGGAAATCTCCACTTTCCATGTTGTCCTATCACAATTACACTTTCAACCAATAGTCAATACTTTCTGCTTTTTGTCTATTCATCAAACAAAGCTAAATGATTATGCCAAATACAGCCTATAAGGACAAACTGAAAATGCTTGAATTCTCACTCTAAATCTGCACCATCCCCTTGACTAAAAAGATCTTCAAAACGTTAATATATTTTAACTAAAAACTGAAAAGCTGTTAAGACAAATAATAATTATATCATATACTGTCAAAATGTATGCACTGAGGAAAAAGAGGAATAATAATTATATCATATACTGTCAAATGTATGCACTGAGGAAAAAGAGGAACAGTGATGAATATGTAACACCAGAACTACTCTATAAACTCTGAGACTGAGTCTTACAAAACTACATAAAACTAATCTTATTAGCAGCATTTATAGCTAACCACATCTTAAACAGCAGGGAATGATGACAATATTACAACAATAAAAGACTACTTTAAATGCAGAATCACATCAATATATGATTATCAAAAATATTGGATTAAGCCTCCCATTTCTCCTTCTCTCAGTCGGTCATAATGATGTAAATGATAATGTCACAGCCCATATTTCACATAAATGTGATCCTCCATATGAAATATTATGCATGTGTTCATGAGTATGCGTGTGGGGGGAGACCGGTAGTTTCAACAGCTGTGCAGTATGTGCTGTCAGCGTGACATCTACTTTGTCTGCTCAATATGACACGTTTGAACGCTCCCGTGCATGCTGTCCTGATGTGAAGTGATAGCGAGGGATGTACAGCATCTCCGGAACCACTCCCTGTTGTCTCTCCTACATCGGTATCAGAGCGGCTTCCTTACTAACAGAGAAAAACAGCAAGGCTGGCACACTGAGATTGTCAGCTGTTATGTCGTATCTTTCATTTTCTCATTTAGGTTCACTTGACTGACTGAACAAACTCAAAATGTAAATCCCTTCCTCTTTTGTCAGAATGACACTGAAGCACACACCACAATACAGTATCACTGAGACTCATGTAGCTACAGTATCTTTAAGGAAACAGTGCAGAGAGCGTCTCGAGGATGATTGCATCGAATATCAATTAACTTGTGAAGCGCACGCTGCAAAGCCTACTGAACACTTTACACCATGTAGTGCAAAGTCAAGCCCCTTCTGTCTAATTCCACTATTGCCTTTTTCTTATTCATATATCACTTGTGTAAAAGAAAAATCTACAATCTCTTACCCGAATAAGGCTAATCAATAAAGTCAGATAACTTATTTTGCTGCTATGCTCATTATCTGGAATCACAGGTGTGAGAAGCCTTAGTACACATTACAAATTCAAAAACACATTCTAGCCAAAGGCCATTCCTTTACTGTATAATTGTCTTCCCCACCAAGTGATTTACTATAATTAAGCCATGGAAGACAGCTCTATTCTCCTGTGAGCGATCATATTAGTACTACCACAGGCAGGTCTAACAAACATCTCACCGCCAGTGCTTTTCAAAACAATGGACAGCAATGTTCAGGGAGGTATATATGGGTACATGTTCTCACAAGGGAGAATACAATATACACAGTGCAATTGCAGGTATGAGGCCTTTGGGGACACCTGTCACTGTTATCTTGGTCTGCTGTGTGTGTGTGTGTGCGCCAGTGCGCTTTGTCTGAAGCAGGAAAAGCTTGACTCCAGCTGCTCTAACATAAGCAGGATGCTCACTGCCCCACATAAACCAACAATAGAGGAGAATTTTGCATCAGTCATAAACATTAATTGGTCATGAGCCCATATCCTCTTTTTCTACACTAGCAAACCAAATACGACCTCCCATCCACATTCAGATAGCTATGATATTTTTAAAATACATGTTTGGAAAATAAACAAACAGAGAGACATCACTATGCCCTGGTGGAAAAACAAAAAGCTCTTCCACTGAGGATAAATGAATCATGGATAATTATGAGGTTGCCCTTAGGATGAAAGCAATTTTTGGGACAAAGCGGCCTCAGTAATCACAACGGTGCAGCCACTCATGTGTCCTAGCCAGTCAATGGGACATGGGTTGAGGACTGGTGGAGTCAAGTTGTTTCAAGCTCAAGCTGGTTCATTGTAATAAAGAAGTTATCAGTCATTCCACTGCTGTTTGTTTCTGCTACAAATGGCAGTGTAATTATAGTGAAAACATTTTTTTTTTTTATTTAAGAGCAACATTTGAACTTACTGTAGTGTTTCTATCTCTTGCAAATGTCACAGTCAGGAGAAACGTAACAGTGACTGCAGTCGTTACACTGGGGCTACTCTGCTATTCATTTGCATCCTCAGTCACACACAGGCACATTCTTTTCTCAGTCCAGGAAAAAATATGCAATAGCCGGGTCAAAGAGATGTTTGTCAACATCATGTGCAAGGCGGAGAGCGACGGAAGCTGCATGCTAAACAGGCCCAGCCTCTATCAAGCCAATCAACTGCCTCTAAGAAAACGAGAAAATGTAGTCGGGGCTCAGACACCTGGCACTAGGACTCATTCACCCTCGCTCCCTTCTTCTCTCCTTATCTCGCTATCTGCCCTCACACAGCTCTATCAAGGCAACTCCAAGCTTTGCGTGTGGAATCATCAAAATCAATCTTCAATCCTATTTGTCTCCCTGTCCAATTTTTCATTAGATGAAACAAATAAAGGCTCTCCTAATCCTGCTGCAAATATGCTTTTATTGGCTGGTTAAACCACAGAGACAAGATGCTGTTTGAGTTTTTTTTAAATTATTTTTATAAAGGTGGTTGAATTTCTTCAGAAGCCAGAGGAAAGGGCAGTGGTGGTGACTTCCACAGCACGACCTCCCAGCTTATACATTCACAGCATATGGGTCGCTGCATGTACCTGCCGAATCCCCCCCTCTACTGACCAGATAACACCACAGGATGACCCCATACAGCATTTCTCATTCTTTCCACTTGTTTTATTCACACAGACACACACACAGTCAGAAGCAGCTCAGACAGGCACAGTAAATCAGCGTGCCTGTAAGTAGGGCTCATTGACCCCTCAGGATCCATGGGTGCCTGAATCTCTCTGGATCATCCAGTCAATACATCAATATCCATCTCGCGTTTCTTGTTTTAAGCCCCCCACTTCCAAACTCTCGATCCCACCTTCTCCTCACTGAATGTCAAACGGAGATCGGAGTCATCAATTATAAGTGTGTTTGTATACGTGTGAACATGGAGCTGGAGCTTATTTGCTACTCTAAGAGTGAGCAGGATACACATTGTTATACAAACGCACACTGATGCACCCACTGATTCTCTCTCTCTCTCTCACATACACAAACATAACTGTCCCTCTCTCCCATGGGATCAAGGAGAAGTGGGTCATGAACAGAGAGAGGGAGGTTGCCCAAACAATCCAACAGAGCAGCTCATACATAAGAAAATCTATATCCTAAAGATCAGCTGGTCAGCATACACTCTGTCAGCTTGAATAGCCTTTTAGCCGGAGCCATGCATGTTATGTTAGGGTAATTCAATGGCATTCTGTAACTCTGCAGCCAAATGGACGACACACAAATAAGCAATGATTATTCTTTCTGATAGCATCTGAAATGATGTGCGGTGGAGCTGATCAGCTGGTTCAATATATCTGGCAAGTGCTCAAACTCCTGCTCTTTTTTGCAATATGTCAGCACACAAATAAGAAAAGAAAACAAGTGGAGCGAGAGAGGTCAAATAATCCACTTTGTCAGGCCTCCAAATTCTGCTTGGCACTCAGTCTCAGGTCAGCTTCAGCGTCTCAGCACCTTAAAATCCCTTGAAGGGGTCCACTCACTGACCTAATGATGCATGTGCCATTTCAAATAGCTCAGATTCATAACATTTGTAATACAGACAGATGTTTCACTGACTTTATAATCTGTGGTACGATGTAATGCTAAATATCACTCGATCTTAAGATATGTTGACAGGTAGAGCAAAGATTATTTACATCCCATTCTTCAGCACAATCAAAGACACCTGTTAATAGTTAACAAAGAAGGAAATCTAACAAAGATGATGTCTTCTCTCCTACTGAACCCTCACAGTAAATCATAGGACTCCTCCTCCCTTCTTCTACCCCTAACACTCAGAGAAGCCCAGCCAAGGATTCAGGACAGAGCACAGCTGATTGTATCTCACCTCTGGCAGTGGCATGCCGTTGATGATGAGGTCTGGCTGCTGGTGGCCCTGCCCAGTGAACGGGTGCTGATAGCCATGGTTGGGAGCTGCATTGCGTGAGTTCTGGTTCTCCACGTTGAGGAAGGTGCTCTCGGACCGCCTGCAGCCCAGTGGCAGGCTCTGCTGGTGGTAGTCGAAGTAGTTGAGCGAAGAGGTGAGAGACGAGCAACTCACCACATTCATCTTGTCTGTCTCCTCGACGTCTCGTGGAACCAGGCGGATGTCGTTCTTGCTCAGCTTCTTCTTCTTGCTGGACTTCTTCTGGTTGCCATATGAGTACTCCGCCACCCTGCGCAAGTAGAAGAAACTGAACAGACTCAATAAAGCAGTGTTCTGCCTTCCCCTCCCCTGTCCACACGGTCAGAAAGCTTGCCCGCCATGCCAGCTAGGGCGCTGTTCGACCATGGGTGCCAGACAAAGGCTCATTGACTGCGTCCAGGGGTGGATCAGTGCACCTAAGTCACTCCCCACTCCTGGCTTGCAATGGAGCTGTCATCCTTTATTTGTTTGCATTTGCATGCTCAACAAACGACATGTCACAAACAGGCAGACTATATGCAAACATGCTAAAAACCACAGAAGCAAAAAAAAAAAGGATACACTGGTAGTGAGCAGCACTACCGGTATATGCAATTATATTCAAAGCACACAACCACACTAATTCCATTTTTTTCTTTTATTATCAGGTCAGCCCACTAGCAAAATGTAGTGCAGGAGAACTGCAGATTCAAATTCGTTTAGCTGCCTTCAGTTAGCTGCAAACTTGAAATGAGTATTTTGACTTTAATAAGAGCAAATGAGCAACACAGCCATGTTTTATCAAAGCATCCTCAGACTGGGGGAAGTATTCATTCTTCACACAGCCTTGCAGTTTTCCAGAAGAGAACAGATGCTATATACTCTATAGTAATGACTACAAACTTCACTAGACACATTCCAGACAATTTGTGATGTTTATTACAATCTGCATTACTTCAAATACTAGAGGAGGCCATTTTTATCCTTACAGCATGGAGCATATGGTTTATTTCCCGTTAAAGCCCACAGCAAAACTACAGTTACCCATAAAATTACAATATCTGGAGTGTCTCTGCTCCTGTCTCTTGTCTTGTCTGGAGTGTCTTTCCTATAGCAGCTCCCACTGACCCCTGTTCTTCACACAAACACAGCACTAATCTTTTGTCAGTTCTAAAATCACACGGGCTAAAAAAAAAAACACCACAGTAGTTTGTCTTTTTCATTTTTGTTTTAGATTGCATCTTGAAAACAGTGCCCGCCCCAGATTCTGCTCCTCCTTGATTCAGAGGAAAGAAAATGTGGAAGCTACAAGGGCAGAAAATACTCCATCTCTTTTTGATTTATCAATTTAACATGTTGTTTCTCTGCTCTGTGCCCAAATTGAAATCTGGGAGGGGAAATCTTCAGAGTTAGACAGACTGACAAGAGGACAAGCAATAAATTGGAAATAACTGCTCCTGATATTTGAGGTGGCGACTGAGAAGCAGAACACATCAGTGCTGATTAAAACCCCCAGCAGGGAGAGTGGCTCACACTAGGAGAGTCGAGAACTGAGAGCAGTTCTGGATTTTGATTTTGCTGTTGTCTATCGTTGTTTGTTCTCTGAAAAAATGCACAACTGCCACTAAAAATACAATAAAGAACAGCTGTTTTGACGAAGATGTAAGCACAGTGGTTTCCCTCTACAAACACCTTTAGTGTAGTTTAAGCATCTGCTGAGAGAAGTGAGTTCATCTTGTCAACAATCTAAAGGTAAGGTCACTCTTGAAACTGGAGGGGTTATACTTTGTGACAGGATTTTCCTCAGAGCCACTAAAAAGACAACCAGCATTGATTTCAATGCTGCACCCAAGCAAAGTGCTTAATGATAATTTTTGCCAAGCAGTGCAAAAGCAAAAAAGCACAAGTCCAAATTCACACTGAGGAGGAAAAAACAGAGCAATAACATGCTTCAAATGCTTAAAATAGCCAAATTTGACATCAAATCAACAAAGTTATGTTTGGAGCATAATATCTTTATAGCTTCAGGTTAAATTCTCAAATCCAATCTATATGTAAATTTATAGTGGTAATGTGTCACAGGCAAATCAAAGCCAGCACTGATGCTCACGTTGATGAATAAAACTGACTGTTCCATATGCAAGTTCTGGAAAAGATTAATCTGCTACTTTCCAGGAAACTATAGTTAAGGCCTGTGATGTAACTTACATGATTTTCTAAAATAAAAATTGCAATTTTTTAATTAATATTAATTTCATTTGATTTTATCCCTGACATTGCTTGGTGCAAAATAAAACAGAGGTCAGTCTGAATGATACTGGAGGACTGTCCATAATCACACTAGATTAAAGCTGATAACAGCCAATCAACCATGGTGGACGTTAAATAATAAATGTCCGGGACTGCTATTGAACCAGTGGGACTTTAATTGTCTGCCAGCATACCCGCAAATTGAACATGACAGCTGAACCGTCATATTTATGAGTCGGTTGGTCGCAATGGAAGGATTAAATCAATCACTTTACCCTAAAACTGAACAGAGGGCCTCGGCAGAAAGTGTCTGATTTAAAGCAGTCGGTTCAGTTTCAGCTGTGGATACAAATCTGCAGTCCTCACATTCGGGCCTCTGCATGCTGCATGACAAAAGCAATGCACTGAGTTTCAGGCACGGATCGCTGGACACACGCACTGGCGCACGCGCACTCTCCCTCTCTCTCATATGGCACACACACACACACACACACAGCCACATACACACTACATTTAGTCAGTACCTGCAGTTGTACGTCCGGATCTCCTTGTTATCCCTCTTGCACTTGACTGCCACAAAAATCATGGTGACAAACAGGATAGCCGCGATAGAGCCCAGGGCGATGATAAAGATGAGGGACAGGTTGACAGGTCCAATAGGTTCCTGCGCGTTCAGGTCTGGTGAGAGGTACACCACGATGTAGGCCGAGGCAGAGAGGGAGGGCTTGCCGTGGTCCCTCGCCACCACTGTGATCTCATAGGTGGATTTGGCGTTTTCTCCAAACATCCTGGTGGAGCGCACCTCTCCGTTCACCTGGTCGATTTCAAAGAAAGCCCTGTCCCCCTCTGAGATGGTGTAGGTGAGCCGCCCGTTCTCCCCCTCGTCGTAGTCGTCTGCTTTCACCTGGGTCACCATGTAACCCACCCCGGCGTTTCTTGGGATGGAAACCTCCGCTGTGCCATTAACCAAAGGGGGGTTTGTCATAACAGGTGTGTTGTCATTGACGTCCAACACCACAATACGCACAGTGGCGTTACTTGATAAAGAGGGATTACCATTGTCTCTAGCCAAAACTTTGAAATCAAAAGTCCTGGTGTATTCATGGTCGAATGATCGCATGGAGTAAATGCGGCCCGAAGGGTTTATGCTCACATATGTGTTTACATCCATGTGCTTAATCTCACCAGGGACTATGGAGTAAGAAACTGTGCCATTCATCCCCAGGTCCGGGTCTTCCGCTGATACTGCTAGCAGACACGAACCAGGGAGGTTGTTTTCCATCACCATCTCTTGATAGTGTGGCTTGAGGAAGTGTGGAGGGTTGTCATTTTCATCTGTGACTTTCACTACCAAAGACTTTGTGGCACGTAAAGGAGGGGTGCCACTGTCCTCCGCTTGGATAGTCAGGTTGTATGTGTCCTTTTGCTCTCTGTCCAGCCTGCCATCAACAAGTATAGTGGAGAAGCTTTCATATTCTTGCAGTCTGAACGGGACATTACCCTGCAGCCTGCATTGCACTTTGCCGTTTGCACCAGAATCCTTATCTGACACCCTCACTAACGCAATGACATATCCACGCTGCGCGTTTTCACTAACTTCCACCATCTCTGTGTTCAGTGAGAGTAAACTGATGACAGGTGGGTTGTCGTTCGTATCCATCACATTCACCGTGACTTTGCAATGAGCTGGAATAGAGTTGGGACCTAAATCTTTAGCCTGGACGTCGATCTCGTATATCTGTGTTGTTTCATAATCCAAAACACCGTTGACAGTGATGATCCCGGTTCTAGGGTCAATTTTGAACGCATCCCTCGTTTTCTCAGTGACGTAACTGTTGAACGAGTACACAACCTCTCCATTAGTGCCCTCGTCAGGATCCGTTGCATTCAAGTCTATGACTAATGTGTTGATGGGGGAATTCTCCATCACATTAACTGTATAAACGGGCTCGTCAAAAACAGGGTTGTTGTCATTAGAATCAATCACCTTTATATTTAACTGGACCGCGCCTATCTTTGGAGGGTCTCCTCCATCTTCTGCGCTGATTTCATACGTATAGTGGGACTGTGTCTCTCTGTCTAACGATTTTTGCACAACAAGCTCCGCAATTTTAGACCCATCCCCTCTGGTCTTTATTTCTAGTCCGAAAAGCTCATTTGGGGTGATGGAATATGACTGCACTCCAAAGATCCCCGAGTCCGGATCGCTTGCCCCCTCTAGGGGAAACCTGGTACCCGGGGAGGCATTCTCAGAAATTTCAATGTCAATGTGGCTCGTTGGGAATCTGGGTGCGTTATCGTTCAAATCCTCAATCTCAACTTTGATGACACAGATCTCCATAGAGTTTGACATCACCTCCAGTGAAATAATGCACTTTGGGTTCTGTCGACAAACTACATCCCGATCTATTTTCATTTGGGTTGTAAGGATTCCGGCTGGACTGAGTTCCACCCATCGTGGTTCTGAATTGGAAATAACCCTTAAGTATGGGGGCTGCGGTGCAATCTGAAATCCTTGCTTTAGTGCGTCCTTTGTCACGTTTCCAATAACTGAACCGGGCTTCATCTCCTCGTTTATTCCATACTTTAGGTTGATAACAGCCCCAGCCCCAACCCAAAATAGAAGGAACACAGCAACTGATTGTATTAATTCCATGTCCTTGGTTTGCATTGTACCTGTTGAATTTTTCTCAGCTGAATAAAGACTTTGATAATTACGCACAGGAACGCACGTCAGAGAAGACAGCAAAAATGTTCCAAATGAATCATCTTATTGAAATGTCCAGAAAAAGTGTTTGAATGACGAATAGCTCTAGTGCATGTAAATTATACCATGGCGTGAAAGCAGTGATTCTAACAAGTGCCTTCGCCTGTTTTACTCTTCTGAGGCAGCGCACATCCCCTGGCTACTGCAGCGGACGAAACACTGGGGACGATAGAAATGTGAAAACATGCTGAATCTTTTTATAACAGTGCCCTGTAAATCCGCGCATCTCTCATCAAGCGGCAAACTGCTCTCACACATGACTCATATGATGACCTGTCCATTTTCAAGTGAGCTGAAAGGGGGGAAAAAATTGCCCGGACTGCACAGACACAAAATGACAATTCCAGTGAGCAAGGAAACAAAAAATTCAAATCTTCCGTGCAGATGAAGTAATGGGGTTTAATGTGCGTGTTAAATTCTCCGCCTTGATCCCTACAAATATTTAAGTCGCATGGATTAACATCTTGCTCTGTCACATATTAGAAGCACTGATAAAATGTCCTCCCAGGGCGGCAGCTATAGGCTTTCAAACTGCACACCTGATGAAAAAAAAGCTAAAATGATCTGCAGTC